CCATCATAGGATCATATAATATTTTTCTCATAAATTTAAAATGCTCAAAAACAATTTTAAACTAATTAAAATTGACTCAAACAAATTAAAATTCAAGAAAAATAGCAAACTGAAAAATAAAAATGCACAAAAATAAAAATTAGAAAGAGAAAAATAAAAGAAAATTTTAGAAAATATTATGGTATTTTTCTGATTAAAAATAAAGTTTCTATGAATTTATGAAAATAAAATGAATTTAAAAACAAATTAGAAAAAGAAAATAAAACAGAAAAAACAAGATGCGTTGGATCTCACTTCATTAAATAACGTGGCTCATCCAAAGGCTAGAAAGCTCACATCCACGGTGGATCTGAGTCAACCTCATCATTTTCAGACAGAAAAGGTCAAACACGCAAGATTAGAACAAGTGGCATGATGGACGGTGAGATCATCATCTTTAACCTCCAGCCACTTGAAAATTTCAGAGAAATGCAGAAATACGAAGATCCATCAAACCATAACCATTGGAACTCATAGTGGTTTCATCTGATGCGACTTTTCAAGACGATCTCAACCATATCATCGCGCCATATTTCTTTACACCACAGCTCACTCGATTTGAAAAAAACCAAAAGAAAAAGCAAACACAGATTTGAAAATTAAACATCAAAACTCAACTAAAATTAAAATCTAACAATCCTAACAATATCAACACATCAAGAACTACATCTTAGCAACAAATTTGGGTTAAAATGGTTGAGAATTATACATGTTGAAGTTCAACTTCAGACCTCTGAAAATGGAGTCCTCAAGCTTGATTCAGGCCACGATCCTTCAAGTTCTTGAGCTGGTTAGCTTCACTGAATGTTGGTGAAGCTAACTGAATGGAGAATTGGAGTGATTAGGGTGTGAAAATGAAAATTTGAAGTTCAAGCTTAAGAGTTCAAATGGGATCTCAGCAGAGTGATTCTGGCTATCAAAGCTTGTAAAAATGAGTGGAACGAGTCCCTTATTTATATGAGAAGCTTTTTGAATGCTGAAGGAGGGTGAATGATGCAAATTGAGGTGAATTCATGCACGCCTGTAGCATGAGCAAAGTGTGACTTGAAACTTGTCAAAACTCACTCAAGACTTGCGCTTTAATACTCTAATCAACCTAGGAAAGTTTGTAAATCATGTTTAAAGAGAATTTGTGGATTAATTTGGTCATTAGAAGCCATTTCAACCAAATTCAATTCTGACTTGAAGTGAAATTTCAGCTTTGAAATTCAAGTTTTGCCACCATGGTTCTCACAAATGCAGGAGGCTTTATGAGATGATTCTTCTTGCATTGAATAAAGGATGATGCAACCTTTGAAATGTGAAAAGAAAACATTGATTTGGAAATCTAAGTTGAGATATATAATCCTTCAAAGTAGCTTGCATGAAAATGTTCAAAATTGCAAAACACTTAGAAAAATTTCAAGTCTTTTTAGCGACCAAAAATGACCTATAATATTTTGATAAAAACCAAAGCCTTCCATAAGTTTTTGGCACTTTCACTTTGAATCAAAGTTATAGATGACATCTTCAAGTTCATTTTAGAAAAAGAATGGGCTCCAAATGATGAAAATTGACCAGGTTATGACCTTTTGAAGTTGACTAGAAAATCTTTCCAAAACTCAAAATGACCTATAATGTCTTCAAACTTTTGATGACTTTCCAAGCATAATTGGATCTTTCCTTGTAAAGAGAATTTTTTGGGGATGATTAGAAGAGTTCATTAGAAAAAAAACCACCTCAATATGTTGAAAAATAAAGAAGTTATGCCTATTTGATCATAGCAATCACAATTTGCTAAATTATGTCAACCACCTTGAACCAAACTTGAATCTCTTGATTATTTCTTGCCAACCAAGACATGGTGGATCACATATGATCTTGAAATGATGTTGCCTTGAATAATACTTGAGTATGAGGATCTTTGGGAGCTTGAGAATACCATAAAGTCAATAAGAAACCTTGCTTGAGGTTGAAGAAACATGATCCTCTTCCTCTGAGAAACAAATCATGATACCTTGATCCCTTGTCTAGAACAATGCTATGAAAAAATGAAAATGAAAATGCAATAAAACATAAGCCAATATCCAAAATAAAAGATGGGCAAATTTTGGGGTGCTACACTATATATCAAAACACCTTCAAATGACTAAGGCTAGGCTTGACACCAGACCAAAATTCTTCTGGCATGATTCCTTCTAGCTTCTTCGTCGGACATCTATTCAAGATGTATGTTGCATTCGACATAGTTTCTCCCTATAATTCTTTGGGTAGATGTTTGCCTTTCAACATACTTCTAACCATGTCTATGATGGTTCTATTCTTCCTTTCTAAAGTTCCATTCTGCTGTAGAGTGAAGGGTGGAACCACCTCATGCACAATCTCTTCTTTCTCACATAATGCATCAAAATCTTTCGACACATACTCTCCGTCATCATCAGTCCTTAGAATCTTTAGCTTTCGAGCACTTTGTCTTTCGACCATAGATTTGAATTTGGCAAATACCTCGATCACTTCACTTTTCTTCTTGATCAGGTAAGTCCATAATTTTCGACTGAAATCATCTATGAACATGACAAAGTATATGTTACCTCCAATCAAATCCACCTGGATAAGACCACATACATTTGAGTATATGACTTCGAGAATTGTCTTCGCCTTGCTTCCTGCATCTTTGCTGAAACTATTCTTGTGTTGTTTCGCTTAAACACATTCTTCACACACTTCATTTGGAATGTCAGTTTCTGGTAATCCTGAAACCATATTTCTTCTCTTCAAATCTCATATGTCTTTGAAATTGAGATGGCCAAGTCGATAATGTCATATCCATTCATCTCTGATGGTTGTAGTTGCAAGGTACTTATGCTCCATCACATTAATCTCAATCTTGAAGGTTCTATTCTGAGACATTGGAGCCTTCAAGATTAACCTACTACCCGAGTCGATATCTCTCATCATCTTGTCTTTGATTGATCCCTTGTAGTTATTTTTGACCAACTGCCCTATACTGAGCAAATTACTCTTCATGTTTGGTATGTATAACACATTGAAAATTACTGATCTCTTGCCATATTTTCTCATAATCAGAACATCACCAATACCTTCAGCTACTAGAGTATTGTCATTTTCAAATTTCACTATTCTTCATCAAGGGCTTCTTGTTGACAAACCAATCTTTCCTACCAGTCATGTGTGATGAGCATCCTGAGTCCAAGCACCATTGGTCTTGAAATATTTCTTCATCTCTTGTTGTGACCATCATCAACATCTCTTCTTCTTCATGTTTTTCCAGCTTTGCGTCAGTTTCTTGATTCTTCTTCTTTTCTCGACACTCACTAAAATAGTGACCATACTTCTGACAATTGAAATACTGAATGTGACTTTTGTCAGGTTTTTGTCCACCACATCTTTCTCTACTTACAACACCATCTCTTAGGTTGCCTTAGTTCCAGGGTTTTCTCTGATTTGACCAGTTACTTTCCTGCTGATTTCGACTAGTCAAATTATTGTAACCTATACTACATTTGTTGCCATTCCATCTTCCTTTGCCTTTATTTTCTTTTTCTGACCGCGCCAGCAAAGCCATATCACTCTTCAATTTTCCTGTAGCTCTTTCAGCCATCCTTTGTTCATGAGACTCAAGCATCTCTTAAAGCTCTTCCTTCGTCAATACTGACAAGTCTTTCGACTCTTCTATGACTACTATCACGTGGTCGAACTTTGGAGCCAATGACCTCAAGATCTTTGCAAAAACTGACCTTGATGTTAACACTTCTCCATATACCTTGATTTGATTCACTAGTTTAGTAACCCTAGTGAAGAAATCTGTTATACTTTCACTTTCTTCTATCTGAAGCAATTCATAGGTTCTCTTGTGAGTTTGTAACCTCACCTCTTTCACTTTCTCTGCTCCTCCAAACGATTTTTCAAGAATCTCCCACGCTTCCTTCGCTGACTCTACATCACTAACCTTTTCAAAATTATCTAGATCAACACATTGATGGATTATAAAGAGAGCTTTATAATCTTTCTTCTTCAATTCTTTATATGCAGCCTTTTCTTGATCCGTCACGTTTTTTGCAAGCGTTGCTACTCCTCCCTTCACAAGATCCCAAAGATCTTGATAACAAAAAATCACCTTAATCTGCTTGCACAAATTCTCATAATTATCTTTCTTGAGAATCAGAAGGTTTGTCGGAAAGTGTCAGTTTGAATGATTCATCGCCATCAGGGTTTTACTTCCTTGAATCGCAACGGAGCTCTAGATACCAGACGTTGGAATTCAACCATAACATATGGAGAATTTCACTCAATTTTGATCTCAAGATTGTTATCAACCACACAATGATAATGAAAAGATTTAGAAAGAAAGAAAAAAAGAAACGTTGGAGAAGAATATGAAAAATTCTGCAGACTTCTCTCTGTCCACAACTGTGGAAACCCTGTTAATATTGTAACTGCAAGTGATTACAAGTTTTGAATTCTGAGTTGTGTCTACAAAATAAGAGTTGCTCCCTATTTATAGATTTAAGTTAACTTGCAGCCCAAGTCAAAACGCAAAACTATAAAAGTAAAAAATAACTAACATTACTAAAATATGCCTAAATCAAAATCCTATGTAAAACAACATGTTTTAACACTTCGATACATTAATACAACTCGACATATAAATATTTCGACACAACGAATTACATTCTCAATAATACTAATGATGCATTGTGTATTTCCCTTTTATATTAGAATAAATATCATTAATTCTACTATGCTTAATAAGATTTTAAGTATTCCAAACAAATGTCTTAAGAGAGTAAGAAATTTCAATGATAATGACTCATTAGATAGAGGGTTGTGTAACGCACCCTCAGTCCCAGCCACCACCGTGACTATATTCACTATTACAACTACTTTCCAACCCAATCCCTTCTCTCTCTTCACTTACCATGTATGTTTCAGAATCCATTATCAACAAAAACGAAACAACAATGAGTACCACACTCTTTAAGGTTGCTGTCTTGGGTGGTGGAAGTAAATATTATTTTTCATCCTCTCTCTAACCAATTTATCATTTTTAAATCAACTTTTTGGATTTTAGCGATCTAAGATATGTATATAAATTGATGATAATGAAATGGTTGCAGTTTCAGGAGCAGTGTGTGCATCAACTCTTGCTCGGAATGGGGTTTCTGTTACACTCTTTGAGTCTGCTAGAGGCCCTGGTGGACGCATGTCCCAGAGAAGGTTCTTCCATTTCTTCAGATTTATATTACTATATTATTGCTACAGAATTTTTGCTGTTTCTTCATAATTACGTTCAATTTATTTATTTATTTTAATTATTATCAGTGTCGTGTTTGGTGTCCTGGTTTATAGATCTTTTAACCTTTGTTTGAAGTTGACATTTCTTTCTGAATGATACTGGAATTCCTTTACATTGGTTTACTGATGATTTGAAAGATGGTTCTAAGTTTTCTTATTTTCTAAAAATCCAGAGAGAAAACTGAAGATGGAAAGGAGCTGCATTTCGACCATGGTGCTCCGTTTTTCTCAGTTAGTAAGCCGGAAGTGGCGCGTCTCGTTCAAGAATGGGAGTCGAGGGGTCTCGTAGCTGAATGGAAAGAAAAGTTTGGCTCATTTGATTTTCAAACCCTTAAGTTTAACAACATAGAGCAGGTTTACAAGTATTCTTCATATTTTAAGATTGATTAAGCAGTTTTTGCTATTTTATTATTATTGGTGTCACCAACACTTCAGATTGAAAGGGTGTCCGACATCGACACATGTAGTGGTGTCTTGCCCGTGTCTGTCACTCTTTCGTAGTGTATCTTAGTTGCACAGCAAATATTAGAAAAAACATGGAATTTTTTAGGGAAAGTCATTATTCGTTTCTTGCATTTTCAACACCAGTTATGCACTCATTCATATTATGTAGAAGACACGGCTTGTGCCCGAGCCAAGTGCATTTACGATGGAATTTATTAGAATAGTTTCTTCTCAGACTGGTATATTTTTTAGGAAGGATTAAGCAAGAGATTTGTGGGTGTTCCAGGCATGAATTCAATCTGCAAAGCATTATGCAATGAGAGTGGTATCTACTTAATTATTTTTGTTGTTCGGAGTTGACTCTGTAGGCGTGTACCTAATGCAAAAGCTTATGATTATTATTTTCTGATTGTTAGGTGTGGAAAGCAAGTTTGGTGCGGGTGTTGGAAAAGTTGAATGGTTGGATGATGAGAAATTATGGTTATTGATAGGAGTGGATGGACAAAGTCTTGGTCAGTTTAAGGGACTTGTTGCTTCAGATAAGAATATAGTTTCTACTAGGATCGCAGAAGTTACAGGACGGTTACCACCACTTGGTATGGATATGCTTTCTAGCCTTCAATTTCTTTTTAACTTTTTCATGTGATGGGCTGTCTTAAAACTTTTTGTTAGAAAATTAGCTATGCAAAGAGCCGTCTAGCTCATACTATATAAGCTACTCCCTCCGTCCCACAACCGTCCCTAAAAACCTTTTTATTGATGATGCAGATTTGAAGTTGCTGCCCGAGTTGTCAGAAAAGTTGCACAATATTCCTGTTAGACCATGTTTTGCATTAATGTTGGCATTTGCAGAGCCTCTGTCAACGGTATGATGAAGCTATACAACTCCCATGCGGTAGTTATATTCTTTAGTTCACTAATACATGAATTTTTTATATGATTAAGGGTCATCTTAAGGTTTTAGAGACCCTGCGTAGGTTAGTCACGGTTCAATTGTGGTAAAACAAATTGGGGCCCTATTTAACCATGTTTTTAAGCATGACAAATATTATATGAGGCCCTCTTTATGCAAAGTTTAACCATGACGAATTTTAGGCCCTATGCGGTAGTCACCTTGCACCCCTAAAAAACGGTTCTGATATGACTCGTGATTTTTGGCCCATTTCATCTCATGCTTGGTTTTCGTGAAATGATTCTTTATTTCCTTTGGTGTTGAGAAGTTTGATGATGTATTCCTTCTTCCTTTTTTCACTCATGAGACTCTGCAGCTTGATATCCTGTATGAAACAACTGAAAATATGTTGCTTTTCTGTTTGGATTTATCTATTTGGGCTTATCTGCTGATGTAATCAGTTGTAACACTGTTTGGGAGACCATACGAAAACAACCTATGATATGTCCTTAATTTGTTTTCAGCTTATTTCCGTAAGTTCTTCATAACAGTTTATGAAAACAACTTATAGTTTATATGAAAATAGTTGACTTTATTTTATGTTTTATGTTATAAACGTTTAATTAAATTGTTTATCCAAATAGGGCTATATAATAAGTCATTGTTGAGTATTATAATTTTTCAAGTAGGAAAGGACCATTTTTGTGATGTAAAATCAAGGATCTTAATCTACAAAATCCAATTTTATGTTCAGATTCCAGTTAAAGGCTTCTCTATTAAAAATTCTAAAATATTAAGTTCGGCTTACTGTGATAGCAGCAAGCCAGACCGTTCTACAACAAGGTATTTCTTTGATATTGCATCACTCGATCCAATCTTTTAAATATACATTGTCAGTCTAGTTTCCATTCCTTACAGGGTTGCATCCTTATTTTACAGCGAAAGATGGGTTCTTCATTCAACAGCAGAGTATGCAGAGAATATAATCGCTCAAACAGGACTCAAGAAGCCCTCAGACGCTACATTAAAAAGAGTGGCGGAAGAGCTTTTCCAAGAATTTCGAAGTACTGGGGCTAACATATCACAACCCTTTTTCAAGAGAGCTCATAGATGGTAAGTAACTCTGAGTTGACTGCTATTTCGCATGTCATAAACATGTATAACATTTCTAGCGTTGCATTTGATCGCAAGAGCCTTGAGACATGATCATAAGTCGATCCAAACATGTCTTATAATGAGAAGCTGCAAACTATTTGGTAATAATGTTGGTTGATTTTATAGGGGGAGTGCATTTCCAGATGCTAGTATTGCGGGAGAGGAAAAATGTCTTTGGGACAGAAACAAGAGACTAGCGATATGTGGTGATTTCTGTGTTAGTCCCAATGTCGATGGCGCCATAGATAGTGGTTTTGCAGCAGCCTTAAGACTTAAAGATATTAGTGCCAGTTCTCTATAGTTGTTGAAGGAGTGAAGCTATGCAACATTATCATTTATGGTTCTCCAAACATGGTGTGTTTTTATTCATGCTTATTTTTTCTGGGAAAACTTGTTTAATTTTTCTTCAGGAGATGGCTGTATTTATATATTACCAAGAAAATAAGGTAAATGTAAAATGTTGAAAATGCAAGTTGAGTGATGACAATATATTTGAGATGGTGTTTCGGTTTAAGATGGGAAAGATATTAGATCTCAGGATATTTACTGAGGATAATTACTGTAGGGGTTTGAGAGGGAAGGATTAAGAAAAATAAAGTGAGGGATCTGATCAGGGCTTACTCTTTAGATTTCATAGATATCCAAGAGACTAAAATGTATGTGATTACTCATTCTCTAGTCCATTTCCTTTGGGATAATCAGTTTTGTGATTGGAGTTCTTGTCCGAATGTGGGGAATAGTGGTGGTCTCCTTTCAATCCGGTGAATTTTGAAAGGAAGAGCTTTGTTTTATTGCTTTGGTTCTAATTTATTGGGTATTTGTTTAGAGCGGAGATCGTCTAATTTTGTGTATTTTGTGATAAATGTTTATTCCAAGTGTTCTCTTGCTTATAAAAGAGCTATGTGGACAGACACGTGTTTCAGGAAAGCCAACTTTGGAGTTATGAGAATTTTAATTCCACTTGCTCTTCTACAAAGAGGGTAGCAGTGAGGGTTTCTTCAACTTCTAGGAGATTGAATTGTTTGGATTTTTTTAATTATATCTCTTGGATGGAGGTAGTAGATTTACCTCTTTTCAGAAGAATGTTTAACTGTATTAGACTGATAGTGAACAACTAGTAGGATTGATCGTATTTTCATATCTAATGGGTGGTGGGATAGTTGGGGGAGGTATCTCAATGGGCTCTATCGAGGGATGTCTCTGATCATTGTCTTATTATTCTGAAGAACAACAATCAATTGTGGGGCCCAAACTATTTAGATTTAATAATCATCGGTTAGCTCATAGTAGTTTTTTGAATTTAGTTACTAATTTCTAAAACACTATAAAGGTCCATGGTTGGAAAGCGCTTTTTCTGTTGATGAAGGTTAAAGCTCTTAAAGTGGTCCTAAAATCTTGGAACAAAGAGGTTTTTGATAATCTTGACTCTCAGATTGATAGGTTGAGAGAGGAAATTAGCAGAGTTGATTCTTTGGCTGATCTTAGCGAGTTATATGGGGGGAGATTGAGACTAGGTCCAAAGTGCATGCAGAGTTATGGTATCTTCTACTCCCAATTGATTCAGATATCTAGATTTAATTGGCTCAAGGATGATGATGATAACTCTGGATTCTTTCATGCTTCTATGAAGAGCAGGAGTAGAAGGAATGTTATTTTAGCGTTTAAGATTTGTGAGGTTTAAATTGAAAGGGTGTCTGTTATTAGAGAATTATATTAGACAAGAGGTTGTGAATCACTTCATTGAGATCTTTAAAGAACCTAATGTAGATAAACCCCATTTAGATTGTTAAATTGTCCGCTCTTTTAATCGTCCCTTTAGTTTTCAAGAGCTTGATGTGGCAATGTCACAGTGTGATGGAGATAAAAGTCCAGATCCATATGATTTTAACTTCTTTTTTAAAATAATATTCCTTAGAGTTGAAATGGGGATAATGTTTGATCAATTCCATCGTTTTGCATCTTTACCTCATATTTTTGCTTCTTACTTTGTGAACTTGATCCCCAAGGCAAACTCCCTCTCACATCTTAAAGACTTTTGACCTATTTGTTTTGTTGGGTCTTTGTATAAGTTGGTGGCTAAAATGTTGACCATCAGACTTGGGATTGTGATGGAGAAACTCATCTTTCTTAACCAATCGACTTTTCTTAAGGGGAGAATATAGGTGGATGGAGTTGTGGTTATTATTGAGGTGGTTTATTTGGCCAAAAGATCTAAAAGACTTTGCTTTATTTTTATTTTTAAGGTGGATTTTGAAAAAGCATATGATTCAGTTAGTTGGAACCAAACCAAATCAAACAGTGCAATTTAGGTTGGTTTGATTGATTAATATTTTTACAGTATTTTATCGAGCCATACATAAACATATATAGAGGACAACATAATTTTGTGTTTAGTCATTCATATATTAAATGAAAAATAACAATGTAAAACACATAAGAGGTGCGATAAAAACGAAATTGAAAGAGAGACGATAATATAAAAATGAGAAGATGGAAAAGAAAGAACATAAGAGAAGGGAGATTAGAGAAGAAAATGTGAGATTTGCCTTGCGAAGAAGATAAAAAGGAGGTATAATACTATTAGGAGATGTTAGAGAAGTCTGAAAATAAAATCTTATACTTTGTTCGGATTGGAAAAGAAAGTTAAGGGAAAGAAAGTTGAAGGATTGAAAGTTTGATGAATGAAAGTAAGTGGAAAGTAGAATGAAAATTTAGTTGATTGATATAAGTGAAAGTAGAAAGAAAGTAAGAGGAAAGAATGTTAGATATTTAGTAAATGACACAAATATTCATATATGTATTAATATTCATTTCTTACCTATTAATAAAATAATTTTAAAAACAAGGACAATATTGTCATTTAGACACCATTGTTTATCTTTATATGACTTTTCTCTCATATTCGAGTGGAAAGAAAAAAGGACGACTCACAAAAAATTATCAATTCATTCATTTTTAATCTTGTTCTAAATGGAGGATGAATCTTGAAAATAGAGCCTTCCATCCTTCTTCAATCTTTTCTTCCATAATCACTCCAAACAAACACACCCTTAAGTGTGTAGAAGAAAAAACCATTGCTAATAATAAGGTTAAAGAAAAATAAGTTTATGTTTGGGTTGAACGTGGGCTAAGTAAATTTTGGGTTATAGTATAATGTGGTTTGATTTGATTTGGTTCAATTTACAAAATACAAACTATAGACTAAATCAAACCGTGTGGTTTTGTTATAAAATGACTCAAGCACAACTTTTTTACTGTTTTTTATTTGATATGATTCGATTAACAAGGGGTGTTTATAGGTATGTGCCAACTCGCGAATTCACTCAGCCAATCTAAATTAACCCTCATTTTTACCAACACAGTTATGTAGAGGTCTAATCCGAACCAACTCATTCAAACTCAATAGTATTTGGTTGGAGTAACAAATTTGAAATTTTAAATCCACGAACCAGCGAACCCAACCCATTAACATATCACAATATTTTTATTTTATTTTATTCATAAATTATCTAGCATAATTCTTACAATGCATATATTTTTAAAAAATATAATTATAACTTTTGTTAATTTTAAAAGTCTAAGTCTAAATCAAATTTGCAAATCAAATTTCTTTATATCCTACCTTTTAAATTATACTTTAAACCATTTGTATATATATTTTTGACACCACTTGTATGTTTTTTTGACTTGATTTGAATCGTAAAAGAGTTTTTAGGTATTAAACGATAAATTTTATTTAAATTAAATAATAAAATTTTATGATTTTTTTAATGTTTTTGTAAAATATATATGTTAATTAAATTGATATTTTATTTATAACTTGAAAATTATATTTAGTGAATGACCCACGAATTCAACTCAACTCAATCCATTGATATTTTATGAGAATTTATTAATGCACCATATATGTTTCTTAGGTACCACCCGAAAATACTAAAATGCCCCTGATTTCTAGAGACGCATCTCCGGGTGCACCCATTTACACCGTAAACACAGACCATTCTAAGTTGCGCCCTATAAGTTGAGTACTTTTAATTTCAAAGATGCATCTCCGGAATATTTCAAGAAATATATTAATAATTGATCAGCTCAGTGAAAATTTCGGAGATGCATCTTCGGAAGTTAGGGCAAAATTTTGAAATATGTTGTCATCTTTGCATGTCAGATATTTCCGGAGGTGCATCTTCGAAATAATCTGATAAAAGACACATTTGCATGATCACACATTCATTGTTGTATTTCTCTATAAACCCTCACCAAAAACTCTTCCATTATCAATCTATTTTTTCACTCTAAATCTCCAATCTTATGGTTCATCATATCAAAGGGAGCAAAAGAAGTTATAATTTCAGGTAAAGATCATTCATTTCACATTGCATTACTCACATTAATCCTGTTTTTTGTCTGAAAAAATGGACGTTTTTCCCGAAAATGTATCCTCGGAATGAATATAAACTTTTCCGGAGATGCATTTCCAGAACCATTTTGTGTTTATTTTCCCGTTCTGTTTTAGCAGTGGCGCTTATATACTATTATGTGGTAATTATTTTAATTAGATATGGTGCATCGTGATGTTTTCCCCAAACAAGTTATTTCTCTTAATGTCAAAGGTGTTGTTGTGAAGGCGGTAGATGTTGGCAACCAATTTAAAAACGAGCAAGAGTTTGAATCTCGTGATCATATACTTCAATGAATTTTTATGGAGGACTCCAAACTTGGATTTGGTGTGGTTATCGAAAGGTCCGATAATGGTTCTAATAGAAGATGCACTTTTATGACAATGACATGCGAAAGAAACGGGAAATATATAACTCCTCTCCATAATTTTAAAGAGACGACATCAGTTCAAAAAAATATGAGTGTCCTTTTAAGGTGTGTGGTTACATGTTTGCAAACAAAAATTGGATATTAAATGTCATATGTGGTTTGCATAACCATGATTTGTGTAAAAAATTAGTCGGTCATCCTAGTGTGTGTCACTCATGTCAGAAGAGAAGGAATGCGTGACTGACTTGACATTGAATTTGCTTCAACTGAGAAGACATATTCTGTTGGGTTTGTATTTCTAGAGAGTGAAAAAGAGGAGAATGTTTCTTGGGCTTTGAGGTGTGTCAGACACTGTTGAAGGACCAAGGTAAGATGCCTAAAATGATTATTACTGACCGCAATACCGCCTTGATGAATTCGGTTGCAAATGTATTTCTTACTTCGAATGCATTATTTTGTAGGTATCACATAACAAAAATGTGAGAAGTTGGATTAAACCCGCAACAGGGGCGAAATATATAGAGTCCGAAGATAAAATATGGTGAAGGAAGGTGTGGTTGTGGAAAAAATAATGGATGCATGGAATCATATAGTAAATTCTTTCACAAAAGAACTATATGCCAATTTCGTTATGCATTTTAGGAAGTTATGTGAAAAGTATTATGATTTGTTGAAATACGTTGAAAGCACAATTCTTGACCAGTTGAAGGAGAAAATTGTTTGTGTTTGGACTGATAAGGTTAGACCCCCTTGAAAATACAACAACTAACAGAGTTGAGTCTGCTCATACTACTTTGAAAAATTGGTTGGAAAATAGTAAGGGTGATTTGTGTATAGATTGAGACTTTGTGAATCAAATGATTAAAAACCAGTATAATGAGATACAAACATCATTTGGTCAGAGCATCACAGTTTAAGAACACAGATTTAAAGACAACAATATTTATTCTCAGTTGGTCGGAAACATATCTCAAGCGGGTTTGAATTATATTTTTCACGTGGCTAAACGAGCTGATTATTAGGCTCTGATATCGCAAAGTGTGGATGCACAATTGTGAAAACATATGGTCTCCCATGTGCTTGTGTTATTGTAAAAAAAAATGTGAGACTTGGTAGCCCGATAAAAGTGGATGATGTTTGCACTCATTGGAAGTGGCTTAGGTTTGATGATGATATTGTCATAAAAAACGGTAAATCGAATATCTCTATTTTAACCGAATGGAAATTGATACAAGAGATATTTTTGAACGTCGATGATAACAGGAAACTCAACATGAAAGAACAATTGAGGAAGATTGACTATCCGAAAACCACTGACTTGAAACCACCCTTTCAACCGGTAAAAATAAAAGGTGCTCCGAAAAAAATCAAGCCTACATTGAATGATAATAGGGTGCGGAACTGGAGATATATCTCCGGAATCAGTATGCCAGTTTTTGGGTGGTTTATATTGATCTATGCCTTCTATAAATTAAGGTGCTCTTATATTATATTTCATACAAACAGAAAATGTCTCAAATGTCACAAATAAACATCAATTGATATGTCGCAAATGTCTCATTCTTCAGCTCGACATCTGGACGAAAGTTTAAGCTCATCGAGTACACCTCTCTTGCAGATATTAAATACGAAATCCACAATCTCCTACCTTACGGAGACAATCGAAGGATTGTGAAGCTCGAGTATCGTTTACCGCCAATTGACAACAAATGGAATACTGAGTTCAACAAGTTTGAGCTCAAGACAGATGCAGATGTAAGAGCTATGTGGAATACGTATTTCTGTTTCGAAACAAAAGTTATGCTCGAGTTGGAGGCGACGATTTTAAGATTGGTCGAAGATATTGCAAAGATGTTGAACCGTCCACCTGAATATTGAAGTGTAATGTTGCATTTTATGTTGAAATCATCTATGTAATACTTATTTTATTTTATGAATGTTAATTTCATTTTGAAAAACTACATGGTTTTGTGGTTACCTCTTGCCTTTTGTTGAAAAATCTTGGAAATCGTATCGGGTCAAAGGAAAGAGTATGTTCATCTTCAAGGAAAAACTGAAGTTACTGAAAACAGATATGAAAATCTGGAACAAACAGATTTTCGGATTCCTATATTTGAGAGTTTCGGATGCAGTGAAAGAGATAAATGATCAGGACTTGGCGATAGAGGTTGATGACTATCAAATTGATTCGCAGACGGAAAGTCGAAGGAGTGAAGCTCTTCATTCTTACTGGGAATCTCTTATTAGACGAGAAGAGTTTCTTAGGACTAAATCAAAATGCCAATGGCTCAAAGAAGGAGACCGTAATTCCAAATACTTCCATTCTTTGTTAAATTACAGATATCGCAGACAGGGAATTACAGCAATTAAAGAGGGGAATGAATTGTTTGAAGGTGTGAAAGGGATTAAAGACTTAGTTTTCAACCATTTCAAAGCTTTTTTCAAAGAACCAAATTAGCACAGACCATTACTGGAGGGAGTAAATTTCAAATCTCTATCTCAATCTGATAAAGTCTTTCTTGAGGAGCCTTTTTCAATTGATGACATTAGATCTGTTATTTGGGAGGCAGCCCCGAAAAAAAGCCCGGGTCCGGACGGTTTCACGATGGAATTTTTCAAGGCAACGTGGGAAATTATAAAAGATGATTTATTTGCTTGCATTAATGAATTCTTCTCTGTAGGTTTTCTTCCAAAGGCGTTTAAGGCTGCTTTCTTGGCATTGATTCCGAAAAACTCAAATCCTCAAGGGCTTAGAGAGTATAGGCCAATTTGCTTAATTGGCAGTGTTTATAAATTAATTTCGAAGCTTATGGCAGGGAGATTGGCTAGAGTCATTGATGGTCTTATCTCTTTAAACCAATCGGCATTCATAGCAAAGAGATCAATGATGGATGGAGTGCTTATCATAAATGAATTAACAGACTTCGCGGCTAGGCACAAGAAGAAACTTTTCGCTTTCAAGGTAGACTTCGAAAAAGCTTTTGATTCGGTATCTTGGGAATATTTATTTTTTGTCCTTAGGAAGATGAATTTCGGATCAACTTGGATTAAGTGGTTACGAGGCTGCATTTGTTCGGGTACCTTATCGATCTTGGTAAACGGCAGTCCAATGCAAGAATTCGAAATGGAAAGAGGTCTTCGATAGGGCGATCCACTTTCACCTCTATTGTTTATCATTGCAGCAGAAGGCTTTGCGGGTCTGATGCAGAATTCTATTGCAGCCGCAAATTTTCACCCTTTCGTCCTTTCTGAAGAGCTCCAATTTAGTTTAACTCAATTTGCAGACGATACGGTAAGCTTGGGGGATTCTAACAGAGAAAATATTTTGGATGTTAAAGTGATGCTTAGGGGTTTTGAGCTGCTGTCCGGGCTGAAGGTGAATTTTTCAAAAAGCAAGGTAATTGGTGTCAATTTGGATGATGGATTCCTTGAGGTTGCATCAAACTTCCTCTCTTGTGCTACGACCAGCTTGCCGTTTAACTTCTTGGGAATTCCCATAGGAGCGAACCCGAGAAGGAAAATCACATGGGAGCCGTTGGTGACAAAGATTAGAAACAAGCTTTCTTTGTGGAGAGGGAAGCACATCTCATTCGGCAGTAGATTAACTTTGATCAATTCAGTCCTAAATTCAATACCGGTTTTCCTCTTTTCTTTCTACTGTGCGCCTAAATTAGTCTTGCAAGAGATCATCAATATTCAAAGAGCTTTTTATGGAAAGGGGAGGAACAAAAACGTAGAATCAATTGGGTTGCATGGGCGGATATTTGTAAATCAAAAGCAGATGGTGGGTTGGGAATCAAAGACTGTGAAGCTTTCAATATTGCTCTTCTATCTAAATGGGCTTGGAAATTCTGTTCAAATTCTTCGGATATGGGAGCATCGATTCTTACTTTCCGTTATGGCGATATTAAGAGGATTCTTCTTGAACCATCGAGATTCTCTACCTATTTGCTGAAAGCTTCTATTTAGTGGAGGGATATGAAGGAGATCGTCGGTAAATTTGGAGAAGAGGAGAGTTGGTTTGGCAAAGGGGTGTCTTGCAAAGTTGGGAACGACATGCTTATAGATTTTTGGCATTATCTCTGGCTCGGTTCTCAACCTCTAAAACTCATGTTTCCATCTCTGTATGAATCTGCCTTAAACAAATCTGCTAGTGTATTTTCTTCTGGATTTTGGACTGACGGTCTCTGGCATTGGAACGATAGTTTTGGCACTGATTCTCTGCCGACTCTAGCTGTTCAAGAGCTTCAAGAATTACGACTGATCTTATCTGGAACGCAGCCTCACCAATAAGGCCAGGATTCTTTCATTTGGTGGCGGCATCCGCAAGGTTTTTCGGTTAAAAATGCCTATTTAAGACTGTTTTCCTTGAAAGGAGAAAGGTCAGCAATGAATCCCTCAACTTCTAGTCTATTGATAAAAATTTGGAATGCATCTATACCTTCTAGCATAAATTTTTTCGGATGGAGAGCTGTTCTAGACCGCCTTCCAACGCGATATCAGCTGTGGAAAAGAGGTATGATTAACTCTACTGGATTACTTTGCCCTCTTTGTCGGGAAGAAGAAGAAACTGTGTGTCACTTATTCATTCTCTGTCGGATCTCCGTTCATGTTTGGTCTCTGGTTTTTGCTTGGTTGGGAACTCAACCTCCTGATATGAACTCTATTTTGGACAGCATGGAAATTTTAAACTCTGCTCTATCAGGATCTGTGGAGAAAATTTTTCGGTGTAGAATTTGGTTTGCGGTCCTTTGGTCTATTTGGAGGATTCGAAACAACATTATTTTTAGAGGTGATTTGTTAAATTTCAAATCTTTATTGTATCATATTCAATCTCTCCTTCAGGATTGGAGAGAACTTGAATAGTTTTCTGTCTTCTGTTTGGGATTCTGTTTTCTTTCCCTCTTTGTTCTCCTTTGTATTGGGTTGAACACCCCTAGTGTCCTTTTCAATATAATATTTGTTTATAAAAAAAAAAGAAATACCTAAATTATAGAGCGCCGCTCAAAATAATCTACGATAAATATGTATCGAATGCGTCTGGAGATGAATCTCTAAAATCTAAACCGTATTTTAATATTTTTGTGAGATGAATAAAAAAACATATAAGATACATTAAAAAAAAATTCCTATTTAATTTAATTTTAAAAGTACATTTTAAACACTTCAACCAAAACCAAAAACTATTACATGAATAAATTATTAAATTTAATTAAATTAGGCTCAAAACAACTCAGAAACACCTCTTACTATAACACTCTCTATTTAGTTGGTTCAGTTTTTCAACATTCCTAATTTTAAAACGGAAGGATTGAGCCAAAAATTTCATTTTCACATTTTTTGTAGAGATAATTAATTGAAGGGAATATCCACGTTTGTTGCCTTGAAGATTTCGTTTGTTTTCATATGCAAGAAAATAAAAGGTGAAAAATTAATCTCATTACTAAAAGATAATGTTTGCAATACCATATCCTCACTTGCACCACAAATTATATGCCACGTGGAACAAACAAAATCACAAATCCATAGTGAGTACTCTTTATTATTATAGCAATTTATTCTGTTTCCCATTCCAAATAATCAAAAAAGAATTAGAAATGGCTTCTTCAGTTATGGCTTCTTTGAGTCTCAAACCAACTCCTTTCACTGTTCAGAAATCTTCAGTGAAAGGACTTCCTTCCATTTCAAGGCCATTCAGAATTGTTGCCAGTGGTGTCAAGAAGATTAAGACTGACACACCTTATGGTTAATTAATTAATTAATTAGCACTTTTTTTTAGCTTAATTATTATGGATTATGATTATTTTATAAACTATACTATATATGATTTGTGATTTCAGGAACTGGTGGTGGCATGGATTTGCCTAATGGACTTGATGCTTCTGGCAGGAAACAAAAGGTATTTCATATAATTCAGATACTAAGGCTCTGTTTGGCCAAACACTAGGTTATATTGGGTGGCTTATAGTGTTTCAGCTTCTATGATAAAAGTAGAATTGTGACTACAGTTATTGTTAAACACTTGAAACTAGATATGTTAGCTTGTTTGGATAAACAAATTATTTGTATTTTATAGCACAAGTGCTTATGAAAATAAGCATTTATGAATAAGTTCATATAAACTGATTTTAAAACAAAATATAAATTTATGACAGTAGATAAACTCAAATAAATTAATTCAATGGTTTCAATCTCAAGTTCTAACTTTAGAGCTTGAATTTAATTCAGGGAAAGGGTGTTTACCAGTTTGTAGACAAATATGGTGCTAATGTTGATGGATACAGGTAACAAACTCACTTTCTTTTTTTCATTCTGAATTATAGGGAATAATCTCGATTACATCAATTATTTAATGAACCAAATTTTTTTTTGTTACTTATAATAATGACCAGAAGGTGTATATACTTTTTACCTATTTAATCAATTCATATATATATTTTTTTCCGATTTTATTATGCAGCCCTATCTACGAGCCCAAGGAATGGTCTGCCACCGGTGATGTCTACGCCGGAGGTAAGAAACTTCTTTCTTTTTTTGTTGACTTTGATGTCTCTGTACAGTGTTTTAAAAATTGGATCGAACTGATCGGTTTAATTGGTTGAATGAGAATGAACTACTTCGTCCGTTGGTTCAATTGTGTTTTTATTGTAACTTTGGTGTCTTGTAAATGGCAGGTACGACTGGACTGGCAATCTGGGCAGTAACTCTAGCTGGTCTTCTAGCTGGAGGTGCACTCCTTGTCTACAACACAAGTGCTCTGTCACAATAGAGACTATGTTAAGTTCATATTAAGTTGTAACAATATTCCATGTAGCTGAAGGATATACTCATCAAATTATTGTGGACATAGTTCCTTCTGTTCTGTTCTATAAATGTTGTGTGGATTTCAAGAAAAATATGATCTCTGTTTATATAACCATGCATCAGTCAATATGTTAATCTTATGAATAGCAAACATAGATTCCTTCATAAACATATTTGGATTCATGAACCATTCATAAATGTTTAACTTCAGGTTGCTCGATTTTCTGCATAACAAGTTCCAAGCGGTTTGTTTCACATCCTCAACAAATTTTTCTACATTGATGGCTTTGTTATTGTAAATCTTAACGTCCCTTGCGTGCCTCATAATCCAAATGGAAGCACTCCAAACAATCCTCATTTTTACACCTTTCTCTTTGCCTCTGCCACTTAGTACTTCAAATTGGTCTAAGTGTCTCTTGCTATCGTTATGCGCTATTGTATGAAGACCTAGCCACTAACATAACTCAAAAAAAATTCGAGAAAAACCTGGCTTTTGGAAGAGAGGTGTGATTTAGGCATGGTAACATAACCCATACTAGCGGATACTCGTCCAAATTGGCCGGAAGTTGACGGAGAAAATCCCTTTTAACTAAGTTCAGATTTGGGTTTTCCCTGATTAAAAAATATGGAGACGGTTTGGATAATGGAGACACTAGTATCCACCTCAAACTTGTCTCCGAATCTGTCCTGTTTATTTCATTATGTACATTATAATTTAGTTTTGTTAATTTGGAATATTAAATATGTGGTCAATATTTTGATATTTTGATTTATATGAATTATTTAAAATATTTGAAATGTATGTATGAAATTTTTTAAAATTGTTTTATTTTATTATTTGTAATGTAATTTGAGTTTGGAGCGAGTTTGAGTTTTAATTTTTTGTTCCTGTTTGGGTTTGGGCGGAGAACGAAAATTGTTTGGAGATTCAGGTTTAGGTTTGGGGGAGGTAAAAACAGTTTCTGACACACCCCGTTGCCATGCCTAAGTGCAATATTGTTTATGAATCTCCACAGTCAATAACACAACTTAGTTGATTTTGGTTCAGAATGCCTCCTAAACAATTTTGTTTTGCAACACTTTCCACCTTTTAGGGGATTTTTTTATGTATCATATATATTACTATGGTACCACATGAAAATATTAAAATGTCTCTAGATTTTAGAGATATACTTTCGGACGCACCGCAAACACACACAACCTATGCCAATTCTAAGTAACGTCTTAGGAGTGTGCATTTTTTTCTCGGAGATGCATCTCCATATTCTATTCGTAAATGCATTTCCGTAACGTTGTGAAACAGAAACATAAGCAAAAAACCAAAAAATTGTATTTTGACAAAATAAAATTATCATTCATAACATAAATCAACGTTACATAAGTGATGTCAACATAAAATCAAACATTACATTGTAATATCCAGGTGGACGTTTCAACATCTTCACGATATCTTTGACCGATCTTGAAATCGTTACTTTCAACTCGATAAGAACTTTTGTTTTGAAACAGAAAAATGTATTCCACATAGCTCTTACATTTGCATCCGTCCTGACCTCATTGTTGTTAAACTCAATCTTGCTTTCGTTGTTAATAAACGGTGAACAATACTTGAACTTCACAATTTTTTGATTATCTCTGTAAGGTAGGAGATTATACACTTCGTATTGAAGATTTAAAAAAGTGGTGTACTCATTGTTCTTAAAATTTCGTTTGTGTGTCACGTTGGATAAAGAGACATTTGTGACATACCATATGATGTTTATTTGTGACATTTGCGATATTTTCGGTTTGTATAAAATAAAAAATAAGAGCCTAAATTTATAGAAGTTGTAGACAAATGTGGATCTCAAAAATTCTATCATGTATCATTGCTAGTTTCGGAGATGCATTTTTAATACCACCCTATTATCTTATTTCAAATATGCATCTCGAGGACCTCTCTTAAACAGGCAGAAAACATAACCTGTGTGTTTTGTTTGGCAAATGAACAATTTTTTTTGGAAAATATCAAAATGTATTAAAATATATAAATTATATATATTACACTTCATTAATATTAATATACAATTACATACACTTAATTGATGACGAAAAAATAAAACAAATCGAAATATTTGTCGTCGACTAAATCTATAAGTATGGGTGGTACCCCTTTGACTTTTGTGTATTTGATTATCTTTCAATGTTGCTCAATTTGACGAACTCTTGTATCCTTTACTGAAATTGGTCTGGCCAAGTCTCGACTTTTGTTCTTAAATGAGTCATCCACTCCACTGATATAAGTGGTATAGAGCATCTCAGTTTCAAATAAATTTGAACAAAGTGTCGTGATTTTGAAAGACACCCAATACGTATAATATAATCATTTAGATTTTAAGGCGGAGCGGTGCACAGTAGAAAAAGGTTTTCGAAAAACCGTATCTTGTAAGATTAATACACTCTATTATACGTGTTTTTTTTAGATGACACATTTAAAGGAATCGCATCCATTTTTCCTCCGGTGTCGATCCATTAATGGAAGGAACAAGAAACTCATAAATTGTATCAAAGTTTTTATCTTTACGTAAAGTCGTGTGTATGATTCTTTATGGGTCATCAACTCACGGATAAGTTGATGATAGACAAATATGTGATTATCTTCTCCTTTGCTGAGTAAAATCTAAATAGATTGATAATTGTAATTACCGTCACTCTCAACATTAACAATTTGTTCGATGTATTTGTGCATAAAAATCAAAATTTTGTCAATGTATGAAATTTTTAGTGGAGGCGGTGAAAGAGGTGGTATGCTAATGCGAGCTCGTTTAAAAACACTTTTTGTTCAGATTTTGGAGTTGGTGAGTCCAGAAAATTTTTGGCAACATGTTCAAAATACGAAGGAGATCGCACAGTTGAATTCTCACTCGATGTAGGCTTGAGCTTCTTCAGAGCATCTTTTGTTTTTATCAATTGAGAGGATGGTTTCAAGTCAGTGGTTTTCGGATAAACAATCTTCCTCAATTGTTCTTTGATATGGAGTTTCATATTGTCATCGACTTTCAAAAATCTCTCTTGTATCCCTTTCCATTTGGTCAAGATAGAGATATTCGATTTATTGTCTTTCATGACATCATCATCATCAAACCTAATCCTTTTCCAGTGACTGCAAACTTCATCCATTCTTAACGAGCTACCAAGTGTCACCTTCTTTGTTATAAGGCAAGCACATGGGAGACTATAGGTTTTCACAATTGTGCAACCACGCTCTGCGCCATCAGAGCCTGTATTATCAGCTCATTTAACTTTGTGAAAAATATAATTCAAACATGCTCGAGATATGTTGTCTACCAACTGAGAATGAAGATTGTTGTCTTTAAATTTGTGTTCCAAAATCGTTATGCTCTGACCAAATGATGTGTGTATCTTATTATGCTAGTTCTGTATCATTTGGTTCACAGTCTCAATCTCTACACAAATCACCCTTACTATTTTCCAACCAATTCTTCAATGTAGCATGGGAAGATTCAACTTGGTTTGTTGTTCTATTTTCAAGGTGTCTAACATGATCGGTCCATACACACACAAAAATTCTCCTTCACCTGGTCCAGAATTGTGCTTTCAACATATCTGGATATTTCTTGCACACCTACCTAAAATGTATAACGGAATCGACATATAACTCTTTAGTAGAAAAATTATTATCATATTTCATCCATCTATTATTTTTTCCACAATCACACTCGTCTTTACCATTTTTTTCATCTTCGACCTTTATCTGTTTCGTCTCTACCATGAATTTAACCTGACTTATCTCACTCTTTGTTATGTGATACCTACAAAAACACATTTTTTTCCCATCTTCAACCTTTGGTGGTCATGATCCGTAAATTACATATAGAGTTATATAGTTGTTGATATTCTTTTTTTTTTTTTGTATTAATATAATATTAATTAGTCACAATGCATAATACTAAGTCATAATTTATGCAACACCACGACATCTCTATCAATTTAGATGTGATTATCTATTTTTAAATTTAACTTTAATCTAAGTAGAATTGTAGTGATTTATTCTTATCATAAAGTGTAAACACAAAAGTGGTAATATTTACACTAAGGTTCCTTAATTGACTTTGTTTATTAATATATTAATTCTGAAATAACATATTATATATTTTATATTTGTCACATCATTGTTATTTTTACATGACACCTCTTAAAACTCATCTTTTAAAAGGTTAAAAGATATATTATTTATTTGTTGAGGTTATGAGTTCGAAATTTGACAAAAATAGATATATATTAATTTAACAATTATGTTATAAGTTTGAAATATATTATTGACTTAAAACATATATAACATTATTTATTTATTTTGAAATAATTTTTGAATTATAAGAGAAAAAAAAACTTTGATATTTTTTTTAATATATCATCTCTAAAATAATTTTGATTCATTTTTATTTTAAAAATTTAATTGATAAAATATTTTTTTATCATGTTATTTACAATAAAGAATAATATCATGAAAAACAAATTGTTTATTTTACCGTTTAATTTTAAAATTACAATGTAAAAGATTTGAATATTATATAACATATTTATAATTTTCTTGCTATATATGACATGTCCGAGAATCAATTCATTATAATAGTTTATCCTTAATTTTAAGGAATATTTTGAAGATAGACTTTCTACGTAATTTGATTAAAATAATTTGACAACCCCACAATTACTCAAATATACCAATTTTAAGTATATTTGATCAAATTTTAAAAATAAAAAAGATATGTGAATTCAAACATTATTAACTATTTTTTGTTTTATTGAAATCAAGGCAAACTTAAAAGCTGAAACCAATATCTTTAGTGTCAAATTAATTATTAACAAAATTTTAAAGATTTGTTCCTATTTGTTGATATTAAAATATGATTGGGTATGCAATACTTTTTCAATCATATTTATATATTCCACTATTATACTCTT